ATGTTTTGGAGGGTTCTCCCACAGGGGGGGTCTGAAATGGCTCGTCTTGGAGGGTCCAGACCCCCCCTCTTTTATTACGAAATCGGAGTACCCTCCCCCTCCCCTCCCTAGTTTTTTGGGGGGCGGGACGCGACGTGAAATGGCTCGTCTTGGAGGGTCCAGACCCCCCCTCTTTTATTACGAAATCGGAGTACCCTCCCCCTCCCCTCCCTAGTTTTTTGGGGGGCGGGACGCGACGTGTTAGAGGGTCCTCGTTCGCCCAAGATGGCTCCCAGCGGGCCTCCGGTGCTCCAAGATGGCCTCCAAGGCGGCTCAAGAAAGCCGAAGATGGTGCAAGATGGCTTACGCCAAACCTCCACGAGGCCCGACGAGGGCCGCAAGCCGGCTCGCAGTCCTCCCGGGAGCCCCCTCAAGACCCCAAACATGATGGACCCACGAACCCGGAAAGGGATATAGACATGTGGAGCATGGGCACGTTTTCACGATACCCAACGGGGCAACACCTCACGAAACATCCCACGAGACACCTCACGAAACAACCCACGAGACACCTCACGAAACATTCCGCGAGACACCTCACGAAACATTCCAGGAGACACCCCGCGAAACATTCCCCGAGACACCCCATTCCACGAGACACCCCACGAAACATTCCACGACGACAGGCAACCACTCAACCAAGGCGGTGTGGTCGTGCTGGGGAGTGGTCGTGCTGGGGTGTGGTCGTGCTGGGGGGTGGTCGTGCTGGGGGGTGGTCGTGCTGGGGGGGTGGTCGTGCTGGGGGGTGGTTGTGCTGGGGCGTGGTCGTGCTGGGGCGTGGTCGTGCTGGGGCGTGGTCGTGCTGGGGTGTGGTCGTGCTGTGGTGAGGTCGTGCTGGGGTGTGGTCGTGCTGGGGTGTGGTCTTGCTAGGGTGGGGTCGTGCTGGGGTGGGGTCGTGCTGGGGTGGGGTCGTGCTGGGGTGTGGTCGTGCTGGGGTGTGGTCGTGCTGGGGTGTGGTCGTGCTGGGGTGTGGTCGTGCTGGGGAGTGGTCGTGCTGGGGTGTGGTCGTGCTGGGGCGTGGTCGTGCTGGGGGGTGGTCGTGCTGGGGGTGTGGTCGTGCTGGGGGGTGGTCGTGCTGGGGCGTGGTCGTGCTGGGGCGTGGTCGTGCTGGGGCGTGGTCGTGCTGGGGTGTGGTCGTGCTGTGGTGAGGTCGTGGGGGTGTGGTCGTGCTGGGGTGTGGTCTTGCTGGGGTAGGGTCGTGCTGGGGTCGGGTCGTGCTGGGGTGTGGTCGTGCTGGGGTATGGTCGTGCTGGGGTGGGGTCGTGCTGGGGTGGGGTCGTGCTGGGGTCTGGTCGTGCTGGGGTGTGGTCGTGCTGGGGTGTGGTCGTGCTAGGGTGGGGTCGTGCTGGGGTGGGGTCGTGCTGGGGAGTGGTCGTGCTGGGGTGTGGTCGTGCTGGTGTGGGTCATGCTGGGGCGTGGTCGTGCTGGGGTGGGGTCGTGCTGGGGTGGGGTCGTGCTGGGGTGGGTTCGTGCTGGGGTGCTCCGCACCCTGTGATTTATCGATCGGGTCGTGTGGTCGTGCTGGGTGTGTCGTGCTGGGTGTGGTCGTGCTGGGTGTGGTCGTGCTGGGGTGTGGTCGTGCTGGGGAGTGGTCGTGCTGGGGTGTGGTCGTGCTGGGGTGGTCGTGCTGGGGGTGGTCGTGCTGGGGGGTGGTCGTGCTGGGGTGGTGGTCGTGCTGGGGGGTAGGGTCGTGCTGGGGGTCGGGTCGTGCTGGGGTGTGGTCGTGCTGGGGTATGGTCGTGCTGGGGTGGGGTCGTGCTGGGGTGGGGTCGTGCTGGGGTCTGGTCGTGCTGGGGTGTGGTCGTGCTGGGGTATGGTCGTGCTAGGGTGGGGTCGTGCATTTCGCTCGAGACATCCTGCCAAAATTCCAGGAAATCGTACAAAAACAAACGAATTAGTCGAGACATCATCGAAATTCCTTCGCGCGGGGCGCTTTTCCGCGTCGCGGTCGGCTCTGCAAAACAAGCGTTTCGCTCGAGACATCCTCGGCAAACTCTGCGGAGCAAGCGTTTCGCTCGAGACATCCTCAACACACGAAAAAGTGGCCCGCACCCTGTGATTTATCGATCGGGATTTCAAAAACAAGCGTTTCGCTCGAGACATCCTCAAATTTTAATTCGCCGGCCTCCTTCGACCTCGATATTTATCAGGGAAAAAATTCGCCGGCCTCCTTCAAGTTGGCACCGGGGGACAGGTTTACCCACTAAAAGAGAACCCTGGGCCCATGCCCTTTCCGGGAAAAATTACCAAAATGAGTATAACGTTAAGGAAAATCAATGATTTCAGCCTTCTCGACTTTTCGCTTCCGATGCGCTTTTGAAGCCTAAAGGTGGTCCCAAGATGGCCCAGAGGGACCCAGAAGGAGCCCAAGAGGCCCCCTAAGACAGCCCCAAGAGCGCCCAAGAACGCCCCAAGAGGGCCCCAAGGGGCGATTTCGAGGGCCCCAGATGGGGGACCAAACATTAAGACTCCTCTCTAGAGGCCCTCCAGGGCTCCCAAGAGGCCCGCAATAGAGCCCAAAGCAAAGAGGGCCCCAAGACCCTCCAAAACAGCCCGACGAGGACCCCAAGATCCACCAACAGAGCCCCAAGAGGGCTCCAAGAGGCGATTCTGAGGGCTCTGTTCTCGTCGCTGTCCTCCTGCTCCTCCCCCTCGTCCTCATCCTTGCCCTCATCGTTTTCCTTTTCCTTTTCCTCCTCTTCCTCGTCGTCGTGATCGTCGTCGTAGTCGTCGTCGTTGTCGTCGTCCTCCTCCTCTTCCTCCTTTTCCGCCTCCTTCCCCTTCTCCTTCCCTCGCCCCCACGCGGGCCTCAGGGATGGCCCGAAGAGGCCATCCAAAGCCACCCCCTTGCTTCAGAGATCTCTATGTTCACCCTGGTTGCCTGCTTGTTTCACTACATGTGTCTCTTCGTCCCTTTTCCCGTTAGCTCTCATGGGCGGGGTTTTTGAATGGGCTGGTGGGGATTACGCGAAGCGTGAACAATTAATTCATTGTGCGATGGATGCGCGTGCGAAGTCAAGAGAAACATTTTGACATCGACACATATCCCACCCTTGATCTAATCGTGGAAGTGTTTTATACACGAGTGGGTGCGCCAACTTCAGGTTCACAAGAGCTGAGGCAAACATCAGGCGAAACGATCAGCCCACCCCGTCAACCGAAGCGACGGAGGAGAAGGGGCGTGGGGAAAGAGACTGGGAAAAAATTGGAGGAAGGGCGCCCACCACTTTTCCACCCGCTCCGTCCCGCAAACTCCCTGCCCCTGCGCTCAGTTACGTCAGCAGAATGTAGGACGTCGAATGACCAAAATAGAAGCAACCCTAAGCCGAAGGCTCGTGCTGGTGTGTTTCGGTGATGCCACTTCGCTATGCGATCGCTCCTGTCCAGTCCTCTATCCCACCTCTTGTTCCTGCTTCCCCACCTGCTTCTCCCTCCTCCTGTTCGTCTGGCTGCTGGTCAGAGGGGGCGGGGGGGGGGGCCAACGAGGAGGCTCCAGCACCGCTCAGCGACGTGCTGTCCCAGCCTGCAGGCTGGGCCTTTTTTCTGTCGCGCAGGCCAGCTTAGGCCTCGGCATCAGCATCGCGTGCACTGCGAGGTGCCCTCGGGAGCCCGCTTATCTGAATCGTCTTTTTGTCCGTTCACGCGGGTGCCCCCCTCGCCCCTCCCGCCCGTTCCCGTCTTTTGAGCATATCCGCCCAGTTTGCTAACACTCGGCGCACTCACCAAGGCAAGTGAACACGACCGAGCGTCATCAATCTGCATCCGACCGGCACCCTCCTCCCAGCACCTCCCTCCCCATCCTCCTGCTCATACTCTCTACACTCTACAATTCCCCACCATGAGTACTGCTCTCCTCTCTCCGCCGAAACTGGCCAGGGAGTAGCAAATCCCCACCGCGCAGTACCTTTTCACTCAGGAGTGCATCAGATGGTATTCATCATATTGTCTCGGTCGGAACGCTGTCGGGGTCTCAAAGAGGTGCTGCCGCTGCAGCGCTGGGACCGGCGCTTTGCCATCGTTGTTCACCATGGCGCCCTCGCCCAAGCGCGGACCCCTTGCCTGGATCGGAGTCGTTCCTCATTGTTGTCGCCCCTCTCCCTTCCCCTGCTCCGCCTTCCCATGGTCCTCCTGCTCCTCCCGCTCCTTGCACTCCAATTCCTGCTGCTTCTTTTCGTCCTCGTCCTCTTAATTCTTCATCTCCTCCTGTTCCTCCTGCGCATCCTGCTCATCCAACACCTCCGCCTCCTCCTCTTCCTCCTCACTCTCCCCCTCCTCCTGTGTACGCAGCTCCGCTGTTCCGACTGCGCATAAGAATTAGAAACACCATAATCAGAAGGCGGGTTAACACCGCAAGCAGCGAGCGCAACACACACACACACACACCACACACACACACACTCTGTGCATAAAACAATTGGGCCTTTTGGAAATTCCAGGTCCGCTATGGCACGCGTCCGCGGATAGAGACAACTCAGCGCAGCGGGGAAGGGTGGGTGGGAATTGGGGAGTTTGTCCCTCCCTGCAGCGCCAAACCCTCCCTCCTCTCCCTCCTTCTCCCTCGTCTTCCTCCTTACTCCTCATCCTATTCCACCTCCTACTCCTCCTCCTCTTCCAGCTCCTCCCTCCTCCTCTCTTCTCCTCCCTCCTCCTCCTGGTCCTCTCCTCCCTCCTCCCATCCTCCTCCTCCTCCTCCTCCTCCTCCTCCTCCTCCTCCTCCTCCTCCTCCTCCTCCTCCTCCTCCTCCTCCTCCTCCTCCTCCTCCTCCTCCTCCCTCCTCCTCCTCCTCCTCCTCCTCCTCCTCCTCCTCCTCCTCCTCCTCCTCCTCCTCCTCCTCCTCCTCCTCCTCCTCCTCCTCCTCCTCCTCCTCCTCCTCCTCCTCCTCCTCCTCCTCCTCCTCCTCCTCCTCCTCCTCCTCCTCCTCCTCCTCCTCCTCCTCCTCCTCCTCCGCGCGGCGACGGAGCCCATCAACGCCCAGACGAGCAGCGGGAGCGCCAGGAGGGACAGCAGCACCGGGGCGACCAGGCACACGCAGCAGTTGGGCCCGCCCGCCGGGAGCCTCGACCGGCCAAAGGCTTCGAGGGGCGTCGCTGGCAAGACTACTTCGGGCTGTGCGCACACAGCCCCCCCCCAGTGGTCCCGGCTGGCCTCAACAGGACAGGCCTCCCGAATAGTCCGGAACGAGTGCAACACCCTGGCGCCGCCTCCAGTGCCGCCCCTTGGGCGCGTAGCGCCCGAGGGTTGAGGTGTCGAGGCAGCCCCAGACTACTCAGGGGGCGCGTCGTTGAGGCCAACCAGGAACACCTGGGGGGGACTGTTTGCGCACCAGCCCGAAGCCTAACCAGGCGTCGCTCGATGATCCTCAGAGCGTGTGCTGTCGCCAGCGCGTACTTGCCTGCTGAGGCGCTTCAGCACGATGCAGGCGGCGTTATGAGGGCCGTCTCAGGCTTCGTGCTACCCGTAGACGGACGTGGTGAACACTCACTGGGTTGACATACGTCCTGAGAATAATCGAGCCGTGGGGAGCGGAGGAGGACGGGGGACGGGGGAGAAGGAGGAGGAGAGGGAGGATGATGAGAAGGAGGAGGAGAAGGAGGAGGAGGGGAGGAGGAGGAGGAGGAGGAGGAGGAGTAGGAGGAGCAGGAGGAGGAGGGGGAGGAGCAGAAGGAGGAAGAGGAGCAGGAGGAGGAGGAGGAGGAGGAGGAGGGAGGAGGATGATGAGAAGGAGGAGGAGGAGGAGGGAGGAGGAGGAGAGGAGGAGAGGAGGAGGGAGGAGGAGGAGGAGGAGGAGGAGGAGGAGGAGATGCAGGAGGAGGAGGGGGAGGAGCAGGAGGAGGAAGAGGAGCAGGAGGAGGAGGAGGAGGAGGAGGAGGAGGGAGGAGGGGGAGAAGGAGGAGGAGGAGGGAGGAGGAGGAGGAGCAGGAGGAGGAGGAGGAGGAGGTAGGAGGGCGCAGAGGGAGAGGTGGCGGCGGGCCGGAGCGCAGGAGATTTCCCTTTCGTTTCCGCCGCCCTTCCGCTGGCGCAGCCCGCCGCCATCCTGTACCCCCCCCCCCCAGCGGGCCGGGCGCGCCGACGGGCGGGGCCCCCGCTGGAACGCCGTGCTGGGCGCGCCGCCAACCCCGGCCCTCCTGGAGCTGCTCGCCCCGCCGGGCTCGGGCAAGGGCTCGCCCTGCCGGGCTCGGGCACGGGCACGAGCTCGACCCGACGGCACGCGGGACCTGCGGGCAGGACGAGGGGCCGGGTGGGCTGAGTGCAAGGCGACATGGGCCGTCGCCGGGTGAGACGGAAGCCTGCACGGCTGCAGTGGATGGGCAGCCCACCTCGCCCACGGGCATCGCAAGCAACCCCTGCGGCGAACAGAAGCCGCCCCCAATCGAGATCTGCAGCCGCGTCGTGCGGCAAAGCCTCCGCCGCGTGGCCCTGGAGGAGGAATGCGCGCAGCGGCTGCCACTCTATCCGACGCCAAGCTTGGTCGAACTGCAATGACGACCTCTTGCAACACCACAGGAGACTTGTGCAAGAAAATCCAGAAACAGGAACATAAAACACAAGGTGCACCATCTCCGAACCAAGCGACGGCCTGAACATGAATGGGGCAACGTACTTCTAAATTCTCGAGGGCGGGGGCTGAACCTCGGGTCAGTCGAGCTCAAATGCACTCACTCTCAGACGCAATCGGTCTTACCCATGCTCAGACGCACGATGGAAAATATAAGAAATTTCGCTGCGCATGAATATGGTAGGGAACCGAACTCTGTACACAAATGCCTCTTGCGACCCTGCACTGATCCGAATCTCCGGGGCGGCGCCAGAGACAGCGGCTCTTCCGCCCTGCCCCGGCTCCACCTGGAGCCGCACCCCGTCGGGGGGCCCCTCCCGCGCCGACTCTCGAAGCCGATCCAGCCGCGGCGAAGAGGAGCACCCAGGAGCCACAGCAAAAACAGAACAGAAAACCCACCGCTGCCTGGGCCCCACCTGGGCACAGGCACCCCTGTTGGAGGCCTGGAAGTGGGCACCAGCACCAGCATAGGGGGGGGACCTCCGCAGGGGAAGACTAATCCTCGATCACGGGTGTCGGTGGCAAGACTTCGGCCACCTTGGGAGCCAGAAGTACTACCACCATCCCCGAGATCGGGACCTCTTCTTCCCTCGGTGGACGCACACCGCCGACATTTTGGTGCTGGTGTCAACCTCTGGGCCCGCGACCCTGGGGAGCCTCACGACGCCGAACTCTCCCGCGCCCGCGCCCACGTAGCGGTAGGACGTCTCCGCCGAGTAGTCTCCGCAGCCGGCGCCCACGTACGACAGCGTTGTGAGCCCCCCGCCGGGGCCGCCTCCGCAGGCGGCCCCACAGCACTCGGCGCCGGCCGCCGCCGCCCCGCGGCCAGCGCCGGCGCCGCTGGCGCCGTAGCCGCCGTAGCCGCTGGCGAGCCCGCCGCCATGCGCGCCTGCCGCGTCCCCTCTCCTCCTGCTTGGTGTTGTGTCTGCTCGTCGCGTTGTTCCTCCTCCTCCTCGCCCTCCTCCTCCCTCTCCTCCTCCCTCCCTCCCTCCCCGGGCAGCACACAGCCTGCCCGGAGCCGGCTTCGCCAGTCAGCGAGGAGCCATCTTTGCCCGAAGCCGTGCCTCGCATTTCGGATTGACATTTTTTCCTAGAAAGCAAGGGGCTGGGCCGGGAGCCCAGACGCGGGAGTTGGGCGAAAAACATGGCCTGCTCCCTGAGATCCGGGGGTTGCAGTGTGTTCCTCCCCGGGCGGCTTCGCATGGCGTCGGGCTGCAAGACTTACCAGACAACAGGCATCAGTCCGCCTCGAAGAATGTCGGGGGCGCGCAACTATGAATTAGCGATCCATGGATTTGGCGCGCTGTCGCCAAATCCATGGATCGGGGGAGGTGCCCTCCCAAAAATGCGGCCAGTGCCGCCTCGTTCGGAGGCGGAAATCCGTCATTTTCCGTGGAAACGGGACCCGTCGCTTATCCACGCCTCTTTAATCCATGTATGCGATCGCCTGAAAAAGGTGGAGTCTAGGTTTCTGGTCGTAATCTTTCGCGACGTTGCATTGGTTGTTGCAACGTCGGCTCTCAGGGATTTTGCGGCGACACCACGGGGGCTGGCGCGAGGGGGGGGGCCTTCGAGCGGGCCTTCTCAGAAGACCTCGGCCTCTGGGGAACCTTCTCAAAAACACCGGTGCCCTTCCATGAAAGCCCGTGCCGCCTATGAACACCCCGTTGTGCGTGCCAGTGGCCAACCATGTTCCCTCTTCCTCGCCTCATCCTTTTCTCGTCGCCACCACCCCGTTGCTGATATTCCCTCTACCTTCTCATTCTGCTCTTCCTAGGACTTCTCTCAATCCTCCGTCCTCCCATATTCCTCCTCCTCCTCCTCCTCCTCCTCCTCCTCCTACTCCTACTCCGCCTCTTCCTCCTCCTCATGCTCTTGCTCCTCCGCCTTCTCGTCTACCTCAGCTTCCTCCTCCTCCTCTTCCTCCTGCTCCTCTTCCTCCTCCTCCTCCTCCTCCTCACCCTCCCCTTCCCCCTCCTCCTCCTCCACCTCCTCCTCCTCCTCCGCCTCCTCCACCTCCTCATGCTCTTGCTCTTGCCGCCTCCTCGCCCATCTCAGCTTCCTCCTCCTATTCTTCCTCCTCGTCCTCCTCTTCCTCATCATCCTCCTCCACCTCGCCCTCCCCCTCCTCCTCATCCCCCCTCCTGGTCCCACTCCTCCTCCTTTTCCTCCTCCTCCTCCTCCTCCTCCTCCTCCTCCTCCTCCTCTGCCTCCTCATCCGTCCCTCCTTCGCCCCCCCCCTTCTACCCCTCCTGATCCCCCCTTTCCCTCCCTCCCTCCCGCCCCACCCCCCTCCTGACCCCCACGCGGCGACGGCCCCACGATAGGCCCCGAAGGAATCCCCGGCCAAAATTGACCAAGCACCCCCTCAAACCCCGAAGCCCTCTTTCGACAAAGCTGTCGACGGCCAAGCCAGAGAGGACGGCGATGGCAAGAGGGGGGGAGAACGGGGGTCGTGGCCGCGGCCGCGAGGCCCCCCCCTCCTCCCACGAAAAATGCGGGCTCCCAAATAGCACATGTCGACCTGCAGAACAGAGTTCCAGGCCAAGCAAGATTAACACATGTTTGAACGACCCCCATGATCGCCAGATGCACGTGCATCCACGCCGCACGAGGCGTAGAAGGCGGGAAATCAACTAAAACAAACAGAAATGCCGCAGCCGCAGCAGGTGGCGCAACCACCGCCACAGCCGCCGCAGCCTCCGCAGTGGCCGCCGCTGAAGCCGCCGCTGCCAGGTCCCCTGTCCGCTGCTGCTCTGTGCCCCCCGCCCGTGTAAGGGGAGATGCCCCTCACAAGCATCGCTACACTCATCATCGTGTCTACCCATGCCGACATCGCCATGATACCGCGCCCCCCCAGGTCCACCGACGCCTCGCACGGGAGCGCCCGCGCGCCAGCGCGGCCTGCGAGACGCGGTGGGAGGTGCCCAGCGATCAGCGCCAACGTAACCGCACCTGTCGCGCCAAACTAGCTGGCCGCTCTGCGCGGGAGCCTGCGCGCGCTAGCGAGGCCGCAGCGATGCGCCAGCCAGCGCCAAGCAGCCATCGCAATCGCCGCCGCATGGGTTTTGCGAATCGGATTGCGGTTGCATGGTTGGGATGATCGCGAAAGCAGTGGAGTTGACAAGTTCAAATTCAAGCTCGGCATGGTGAAGTGCACCACATATATTCCACCACGCGACGTACAAGTCATATATACATATAGAGAGAGAGGGAGATTAGTGTACCGCATAGCTTACACCACATGCATTACGTGGTATAAGTTTTACATCATAGCTTACACCACATAGCTAACACCGAGACATGGCATCGCATCCATTACACGGCATGTAACGAACAACGTAGCTTGCACCACATCGATTGCACCACATGGCTTGCACAACATATATTGTTCCTGACGCAGCGTAGACAGCGCAACATCTCTTACTCCACATACATTGCACCACATACATTGCACTTCTTGGTATGTTAACCAACACTGTTGTGGCCCAGAGCTGGCTAACATGCAGAAACAGAAGACTTCCTTCGAACGGCCCAGAAATATTGGCGAGCCTCCTTCTGCAAGGTCCTGGAAACTACTCGAAGTTTCCTTCAAAGGGCGCCCATAAATCACGCGTAGCTCCAATTCGAAGTCTTTGTAGGACATACGAAGCAGCGGAACACCATCGAACAACCCAAGACAAGCCATAAAACACAGCAGGACAACTATAGGAAATCTTGGGGCAACTACAGGACACCTGCGGGAACCAATGAGACAACTAAGGACAAATATGACACATCCCTAGACAACAACAGACAAAACTAAGGGAACCATCGGAAACCCAAGGAACACCATCGGAAACCCGTGCAAAACACGAAGGAAACGATTGGATTCCGAATGGGGACTTAAAAGAAAACCACTGGGAACCTGAGGAGGCCCTTAGAGAACCCAAGGGCCTTCTGAGGGACACCTGAAGAACACCGCCGGAAGACCCAGGGAACACCATGGGCAACCGAAGGAGGACCCGTCGGACACCTACTCCAGATTTCGTAATAAAAGGGAGGGGGTCTGGACCCTCCAAGACAAGCCATTTCAGACCTCCCCCGTGGGAGAACCCTCCAAAACATCGTCCCCAGACCCCTCAGGCCCTCCAAGATAGCCTGGAAGAGACCCCCCCCGAAATGAGACCCCTCTCCCTTTATTACGGAATCTGGAGTAAGGACAACCATCGGAAACCTGAGGAGCATCAAATGACCACCTGGTCAGCATCCGCCCCTTCCCCCACTTCGTCTGGTGCGTCGTTGGCGCGGGGGGGCGATGCCTTCTGGCAGCGCCTGTGGAGGCGCCCACGGGCGCCAGCTGGGGGCCAGAGTACCGCCGGGAACGGTGCCCCCCTCCCTGGGAGAGGACGGGGGGGGGTCTCCCTTCTCAGAATTTTGGCGGCGCGCAAAAAGGGAGTAGGGGGAGGGGAGGGGAGGGGGGTAGGGGGAGGGGGTCTCCATTCTCATACCTCCAGGGCCGACCTCAGGAACATGGAGCGACACCACCACCACCACCACCAGAAGCGAGGCGCCAGGGAGGGGCCTCCTGGTGGTATGCCCCCACCCATCTCGCTCGAGATACCCCCTCTCTCCACAGGGATGCATCGTGGACCCTGGACCCCCTCGCTGGATATGGCCCGCGGGAGGCGGCCACATCGAGGGCAAATTCGCCCGAACTCCGTGCTCCTGACCCCTATTGGGACCGAAATTGCCAAGTATTTCGGGTCGCGTCCAGACGCGGCGAGAGGGGATTCCTTTCTCCCCTTCTCTGCTGGCCGGAAGTCGAATGACACAAACGCGGGTTGAAAAAACGTATCGTCTGGGATCTGGGCTGCGTGGTTTGCATGCCATAACTTGAACCTCCGGCGGCCGCTCGGGGCGATCTGGGCACTCCCGGAATGCTTTCGGCGAGGCGCAGCTGCTGGAAACCGCCCCAAGGCTGGAAACCTCTGACATTTGACGAACGCGCTCGAAAACTTCGAACCAAGCTGGCTCCGAACGCCCTCCCTCTGGGAGCGGTGGTGTCGCCTCTCCTGTCTCCAACGGGGGCTGGCCGCGAGCGCACCTCCGTAGGATCCCATCTGCATGATGCCGATGATCGACCCAGAGGGACGCCCGGGCAAAGAGCTCGACGACCCCCGGGCCGCAAGGAGGAGGACGAGGACGAGGAGAAGAACGAGGAGAAGGAGAGGAGATGAGTGGGGGGGAGGGGGGGAGAAAAGCGAGGAGGAAGCGGCGGCGGCGGCGGAGCGATATAGGGCCGAATGTCTCCAATGACTACACAGCAACGACCCGATGGGATAATTAAACTATGTGCGACATACCAGGCGCTGTATCCGCAACCGTGCCGCTGGGCACGAAAGGGCGTGTCCTCAGGTCCTCTGTCAGGCCCCCGAATGTTCAGTCCCCACTCCTGAAGGGCTCAAAGAGTCAAATCTCTCGGGGCGCGTTGCGTGCCTCCTGTGCTTTTCCGCGCCTTCTCGCGTGAGTTCTCGGGCCCAAGAAGACCCCCAAAGGGGGCACATTATTCGGCAGTCGTTTGTTGGCATTGGTATATCCTTGACCATATTGAGAGGCAACTCTTCATCATCCCCTTGTCGAAGCCTCTCGCTCAGCTTCATCCTCGGTGACAGCGGTGCAGGAGATGCGCCCCTCCATGCCATGAGTGCGGCAGCATGTCCGTCAAGCTTCGAGCTAGCTACAAATACCAGGCGAGGGGCCGGCCCGCCGGGGCGGGCGGGCGCGCGCTCTTCTCGAGCGAACTCACAGCAACTGCGACAACGCTCTGAATCAGACATGGACGCCGATGGGGGGGCCTAAAACAACTCCCCCCGCGCCCGGCCCTGCGAGCGCCACTCGCACGGGCGGACGTACCTGTTTTAGGCAACGCC